AAAACAGTTGAGTACATTTTTTCAGGATTCTTTGATGAATAGAAGTGAACGGAATTCGGTGTCCACGTGCATCTGCGTGGCTCTCACAGTGTATGATATAGAACCCATTTTAATCAGTGACTGTCTACACTGGATGCGGCGCGAAACGTCAAATCCCTGACAGTAAACTGATGCCTCATTTATGACGTACTAAGCGACCGTTGCTAAGCGACCGTGACCGGCGCTCTCCGTGACTACGCGGAACTTTCAACAAAGGATAAACGGATTTCCAGCACTGAAAATCCCTTGCAGTAGCTCTGCTATTAAATGTATTTAAAATCTCTGTACAGCTGTCGCGTCCGGTGTAGACACCGTGTCTGTGTGTGAGCAAAAGAAAACGATCAGTATACTAAACATCGCACATCCTGCTATGTGACTATCATAGATGCGCACATCGCGATATCGATGCTGAAATGATATATCGTGCAGCCCTAACTGAAAGCCAACGTCCCACCCTCCCTGCAATCGCCGTCCAAAGCCACGCCCCCTGAACGCATATACGCTCACAGATCAGAATACCAGAGACAACATTACTACAATAGGCTACATCAGCAGTTCCCAATTCCAGCCCATGTTCCGAAGTGACGTAAACATCAACGGATTTCCCCTGCTCAGGGAGTAGGGAGCAATAAACACTGTGTAGTAGGGCTGTGCGATTAATCGAAATCATCATAAAAATCGTGATTTGAGCTTGCGCGATTTCCAAATTGCTTTATAGCACGATTTTCCGTGCCCCCGACCTCCTGCAGTATGCTATCCGAACCAATCAGAATGCAGCGCGCCTAAATGGAGCACGAGAACAAAACAGACCGGGCGGGCATACAAACCTAACTCCAGGTTCACACACTCCGTCTGTGGTGCGTATTTTTTCTGCGCCCATGTTAACGGATCAGAGCGTTCACACTGAACGCGATTGCGCTCCGGCAGTGCGCTCCAGGAGCGGTGCGTCTGCAGCAGTCATACTGTGATCGTTTCCGCACGGAATCTATTTCTGCTGTGCTATACACGCTGAATTAAAGTGGTAAAAATTTACATGGATTGACACGGAAATTTAGTAATTACACCATAAATGTATATAATTAAAGTCTACTGTTTCACAGTCAACACACGGCTTTTTGGCTAGATTTAAAACAAGGAAAAGTGCACTTTTAGATAAACAAGGCAATAATAGATGGCATTTAGATGGTAGTAGTTAAATAAAGTAATATTTACTGAGTTTAAACGTGAATATGTCTATGAAAGATTATATTACTGTACTGTGATAAAAGAGAATCACAATGTTGAAAAAGCATTTTCAGAAACAACGTTTGGATTTGAAATCAAAATAATGGTTTTTTTTCCCCCCATATCGCACAGCCCTACTGTGTAGGGATCATATCGATCGGAACACAGTTCATGCAGGTAGCTCACTTCTAACGAGCTGGTTATCTGAATCGGGTGTGTTAACTAAGCGTATAGTTGTAAGTTGTGTATAGGGCTGGGTATCGTTCAAAATTTTTCAATATCGATACCGATACCTTGAATTTGATACCGGTTCCTGAACGATACTTTTTCCGATACCAATTTTATGAAATCAATTTTAACAAGATTACATTATCTAAAAAAAAACCTTTGGTTTTATTTTTCAGCTTGTTGATGTTTATACAAACTCAAAGACTCTCTCCTGAGCCACTGCACAAAGGAACAAAATGTAACCAACACAATAAAACGGTGCAAAATAATTTTAATAAAGCTCAAATAGTCTTCAGTTTACACATCTGTTAGGCTACATTTACACTAGTTTGTGTTCGTTTTAAAACGCATAGCTCAGACAGATCATGATTTCTATTTATTTTCCACTGATTTACTGATGAGCATTAGCAGCTTCCAGCGCTGTCTGCTTGTGTTCTCTCTTCCATGATCGCTGCTCTGACTCAGAGGTAATAACATTTTTCATTTCAGCAACATTACATGGCCAAAACACACATTAGATGGCAGGTCCAGATTTACCTATTTTTGTGACGTAGAAAAAACACATTTTTGGGCCCCCTTCCCTATTAATATAATAGACCTAATATTACCACCCAAGCAAACAAAATATTTCTTAATCAGTGGAAACCAATATACAGTGTTTTCTATCGGAATAAGCGATTGCGTTCAGTCTAGGGATGTTTGACGATAAATCATGACAAAATTCCCCACGGTTAGTATTGCCGTTTCATATTATAATTATCATTAAAACCGTATTAGATTACCGCGATTTGAACAACTCACAATAAATAAATACTGTCCAGCATAAAGCACAGTTTTCAGTAACAGTCTCACGTGCACACAGCACGCAGAGTAGGCCTAGTTTTGTTTTTGAGTGAAAACAGCGCGGAAAAGCTGGGAGGTTTTAAAAGAGTGCTAAGGGAATTATACAAATGAATATATGAATGAATTAATCATATTAATGTACCTCTGAATGTTCTGACTGTCTTCAGAAACGATTCGATGGCATTTTGTTTTCATCTTCGCTCCATGTAATACCTGAAGAAATTAATCGCAATACTGCTTTGTCCACAGAGTTTCCGGGAAACAGCTGTAATTCAGCTTTTCCATAAGCGCCACCTGCTGTCAGTGAGTGGATTTACAGAGACTTGTATTTACATTCAGTTTGTGTGCAGTTTCTGTCCGGCCAAAAACGGACCGAATTTGCATGCCCTGCTGTAAATTTTGACCAGTTGATGAAAAAGCATTTAAACAATTCAGATAAGTTATTTAGAATTATTTATGGAGCAGATAAAATACATATAATAATTTATTAATCAATTATCATTTTGACTTAACCCTTTTTTACCTTTTTATGAAACTTTTTCAAAGCTTTATTTGAACAATTTACATTAGATATTTGAAGTCAGTTAAGTTGTCATTTAAAATCCAAACATCATTGGTAATGTCGTTTTAGTGATTATGCAAACAAAAGTCATTTTATTTGTTGTTTTTTAAATATAAAACTTTTTGAACATCTCCAGCACATTTTAACAATACCGTGATAATACTGATAACCGTGATAATTTTGGTCACTATAATCATGATAAGAAATTTTCATACCGTTACATCCCTAGTTCAGTCAATAAAAATCGAATAGTTCTTCATTTGTTTGAGAACCGAGAAAGACCATACCATATAGTCGTGGCCACATAACCACCTCCGGGAGTGCATTATTTCTCTAATAATTTTAATGGCCTGGAGTCCCAACCACACATCAAGACATTGTTCAGATAATTTGTTTCAAGACATTTGACATGTTTCCGTCCTGAAATCTCGTGTGGGTTGAACTAAAAAAATTTTACGCACCTCATCTCAAACCTTCCGTTGCAAATTCCAAAACGTCATTTTAGAAAAAAATTTACGCACCTCATCCCAAACCTTCCGTTGCAAATTCCAAAACGTCATTTTAGAGCTGATAACAGAGGCTTGAGCCATTGATATGCAGGCTTACACAGTTATTAATGCAGTCTAATGTGGTTATTAGAGAGAGGGAGAGAGAGAGAGAGATTAAGTGCGTGTGAATACCTGCGTCTATGCGTCTCTCAGCAGCAGTGTCTACTAATAGCGAATCTTTAAGTTAAACTCCTTCATGAACCTCGCTACTGAGATATGTCAAGTAGCTTTCAGCTGCAAAACTATTTTACTGATAAATTCGCGGTGCAGCGCTGACAAGAAGTTTCTGTTCGCGTCTCCGCGTGTCTGCGTCTGTGAGAGAGACTGGGAGAAAGAAAGCCTGATTTCCGTAGCCTACATAAAAAAGGTGGAAGACATGGAAATAGTTTGTAATTTTTTACCCTATTGTTTGTTATATTTATTTGCTCAATGCCTTGAGCAATGAGTAAATCCGGCCCTGTTAGACAGCAATCGGAACAGACTGCTCCGTGTGCTTTCGAATCGCTCTCGAGGATTGATCGATCTGCGCCGCACCTCCTCTAGTCGAACACACCGGCTAGTGCTGCAGGCTTAATGGCTCACTGACGCTGATAAGATTAACTCCTTAGGTATCGAAATTTGGTACCGAACGACAAGACGTTTTTCGATACTCGATGGTATCGAGGCAATTCAGTCGGTGCCTAAAAAGTATCGAACTCGATACCCAGCCCTAGCGAGACATGCAAAATATGCAGAATGGGGGGCGCGAGGACTGGAATTGGGAACCGCTGGGCTACATCATGTGTCATTCATGGTGAGAAAACTTTAAAAGTACTACAATACCAGGAAGGAAGATCGGGTTGTTGATGTGTGTCTACCATTCTCGCTCTGTCTGCACAGCGTGCGTGAACGCGCTGATGACGTATCCTGTCTGCGCGAACCAGGTGCGCAGAGGTATGCTAATACATACGCTGACATGCAGGTAGGAAAGCGAATTAAAACGCTCGGACCGAACGTTTTGATTGGACGAACATTTCTTGGTCCTACGCCTTCCACAGAATATATAAATACAGATAAATACATTTAGACCACTTAACTTAATGATTGCTATGAAGATGTGAAGAGACTTTCAACCAGCATAACAAAAAATGTTTCTGAAGACAATCACCTATTGCACCTTTAATATATATATATATAAAAGAAATAGATGTGTAACAAATAAAAAAAAATATCCAGACTTCACATACCTTTAATAAATCAGCAGTCTGAATTTGGTGAATGTGTGATTTGACAGTATGAAGGTCCGCTGGGAGCTCACCTCGACACATCTCAAGAATCATCTAAAAGATTAATTATAGTGAACATAAAATGTTTCAACAATAAATTCATAATAGACAGCATCTAATAATTTTAAACTACATCTCCAAGTGTTCTTTGCAGTATATGAACTTTATATGCAACATTGTTCTATCAAGGGAAACGTACTTCATGAAAACGGGGAATTTTTAAGCATGCGGCTACTTGAAAACGGACAAAGAAAAATTGTACTGACATTTACATTTTTGAAAATTACAAACCCGTTTGTAACTTTAGCAGTATGTTCAACAATACAACAATTATTAGATTAAGTTTCTGCAAGTTAAAATATGACGTTTTTTTATTTCAAAGGCTGTGTGCAACTCCAGAGGTCACGATTTTGGCTGCATACGTCATCATAGCTGTATCATTTCAGAAAAGCAACAGTGGGTGGGTGGACTGCCACATTTCACCACTGTAACTGTGTCAGTAGAACAGATCTCAATGAAAACAGCAACAAACAGTACATAAACACATCTTACCTTCGCACGCAGCCCTACTATCAAAGTGGCCCTCTGCCTCCATTTTTAAACGTAAGAATTTTTAAGCATGCGGCTACTTGAAAACGGACAAAGAAAAATTGTACTGACATTTACATTTTTGAAAATTACAAACCCGTTTGTAACTTTAGCAGTATGTTCAACAATACAACAATTATTAGATTAAGTTTCTGCAAGTTAAAATATGACGTTTTTTTATTTCAAAGGCTGTGTGCAACTCCAGAGGTCACGATTTTGGCTGCATACGTCATCATAGCTGTATCATTTCAGAAAAGCAACAGTGGGTGGGTGGACTGCCACATTTCACCACTGTAACTGTGTCAGTAGAACAGATCTCAATGAAAACAGCAACAAACAGTACATAAACACATCTTACCTTCGCACGCAGCCCTACTATCAAAGTGGCCCTCTGCCTCCTACTTAAGAGCTCTGGCACAAGGTTTGTCATCACAGAAACAAATTCTTCCAGTTTTCCAAATTGCTCCACATTCTGATCCTTGACAACTTGCCACATAACGGCAGAAGTGAGGCGCAGAGGAGAAACCAGCAGGCGAAGTGAGGAGAGAGAAGGGACAGGCTCTACAAAGACAGAGATGCACAAACACTTGTATGTCTATATATTTATATGTATTCATATTGAGTGCCATTCAGAAGTCTGAATTCACATTCAAAAATGTCACATTCAAATAACTTAACCCTGTGAATAAACGTTTCAGGATTTTGAAAAGAACTCAGTGAAAACAATTGCATGTGTACATTACAAAAATACATGCGTTTTGCATATACACACATATACATGTTTATTAATTTATATGCAACATAAGTGCAAATAATAACGTTACATGCCATTTAATAATCCATCAGCCACATCCAGCATGAGGTTCTAGCTGTGTACATCAGGGCTATGATACTCTCTACCATCAACAAGCCAGTCATGAGAAATACTGTAGATGTGAGCATTACACATCTAACGACAAATAATAAAAATGACTATAAGGTAGATGACTATACACACCCATTGCTTCTTTCTTTAAATATATTTGGATCGACAAACAGTCTTGTTTCCAACTTCGTCCGTTGACTCGTTCCGTTACACACTGCGCATGCGTCTGAAGTGGGCCGCGCATAGAACGGCAAATAGCAAAAAGGGTTAACTTTTAAAGGGCGGGGCTCATCGGCTTAGGTTGTCTCTAGTTGGTCAGAAACGATCAACTAAAATAATTTCATACAGATGAATGGAACGAGAATATATGTGATTGCCAGGTGCCAGTCTGTGTATGACTCTTACTTAAAATATCATTGGTTTTAGTGTACAAACATCCCTGTTGAGACATACAAAAAACCCGTTTAGATTTGAATACGGTGCAATGGAGTCTGCCTTCATAGGCCATCAGGCGCCCCCTGGAGGAAATAATACTTATAGGCTAGTCTCATTAGCCCCAGTGAACAGCACGCATGTGTCTTTAAGCGTCCTTTATATCTTCTCTCTTTCAGTGGTGTACTGCACACAACGAGAGTGTACTGCCATCTACCGTTCTATATATATGTGTTAAGATACTATAATTCACTAACACTGTCACAAAAAAGAAACTAAACAAATGACAGAAAGATTCCTTCAGCTTCTTACATTGAAGGAAATCCTACAATGTATACTTTTAACAGTAACTATGGAGGTTAATTAGGCCTACTGTTAGGCTGCATCAAAATATGTAGTAGGTGAAAACAAGTGATATGTCGAATTCAGAAAGAGCTTTATTGCCAAGTATGTTTGCACATACAAGGAATTTGTTATAGTGTCACAAGCTTCCAGTACACGGAGACAACAACAACTATATAATTGGCTTCATGCACAAAATTACTCTATACACAAATATTCAATACAAAAAATTTAAATAATTTGTGCTTAGAAGCTTCTGTCACCACAATCTTGGCCCATTCCTCACCGGAAAAAAAAATCTTCCAGATCACTGATCATTTTGGTTTTCATGTTGCCACTGCTTTCTTAAAATTCCACCAAATATTTTCAATGAGATTTCAATCTGAAGACCGAACAAGCCACTGGAGAACATTCTGCTCATAAGCTTTGCCTTTTTTGAACCAGACATGCAGCTTATCCATGGGTTCAAAAAATTCCAGTTGGGTCACATCACACGCATTTGGCGAGGTGTCCTGGCATGAAGTCCATTCTTGTTTAGTGTTCTTCTTATACTCTGCGTTGAAATGTTGTTTCCTCATTTCATCGGGTCATTTGCAAGTCTTTGGCAGTAAATTGGTTTTTTTTCCTCAGTTGCTCTGATCAAATATTTAATTCCTCTTGATGATTTTGTGCTTTTTCTTCAACATCCTCAAAGGTTTTCTGGTACAATACATTTTAAACTTATGCATAAGAATACCAGCTGTATCTCTAGGAAACTTTAGTGTCTTCTTGTAGGATATTTTATGAAATCCACCAAAAAGATTCATACAAATTCACTTTAAGGCATTATTGAGAATTGCAGTTGTAGCACCCCATATGGAGCAAACTTGCTATGTGCCCTCAGAATATCCTGTGGTCTATGTGTATCAAGTTTCATTAAGTTTGGACATTGCATTCAGGAAATATGCCAATTCGTTAAAAACGAGCAACACAAAAGCACTTATACTTTACAATGCTTTGATAAATCGAAATTCTTTTCATATCTTTTTATGAACTTTTTTTGCTTTCAGCAAAAACAAAACAGCTCTACAGTGTAAAATATGAAATTATTTTTAAATAATTCTTTGGACCCAAGCTTCTGGTATACGTATTACACAATCTTTCAAATATACCTAAAAATGTGAAACACTCAGCAACACTGAAATTGGTTTTATAGTTATTTTTACAGAACGTAGCTTTACAGTTCCTGGAGGCACATTTACAATCAATCAATCAATCAATCAGTCAGTTAATAATAATAATACAGCTTTTTTTTTGGAGGATGCATAGGCTTGCCCTACACAAAAACATCATACCTGCAGCACTGTATAGTAGGGCTGTCAAAATGGCTCAAAAACTAAATTAGAATTTTGTATTTAAATATTATCAAAATTCGAATTATATTCGAATTTAAAATGCATAATTTCAGTTAGGGTGAAGAAAAGCTTTTGGCTTCTCTCCTGAGGCCACAAGAGGGCGTATCGAGCAAAATATTACTAATGCACGTTTATTCAAGATAACATGACTATCTGTGAAAAAAAAAGTGCATAATGTTTCAAATAATGTTTATAAACCATGTATAATTAATTAAGTTGCTTAAACAACTATACACAATACAGCATCGTGTACGTATGCATAGTTTAATACAAAGGGCGGAAAGCCGATCGACAGTTTTCATTTAAAAACATGAGATGCAGTGGGATGGGGAAAAAACCCACCATAAAGTCTCGATATATGTTTTTTTAAAAGTTAAACGTACATTAATTTTACATGGCTTTCTAAGCATCTCGCTCCTTTGTGCGAGATGCGAGTGCAACGGTGATAGATGTCCCTCTAGAAAATGCACGAAATATGTGTTCTGTGTGAACAGCTTGGTTTCAGTTTTGACGTAAACAAAATCTTCTCCGCACTGATGTTCTCAACTGGATTGGCTAACAAAAACATTATAATGCAATGACGCTTACATCGTCATCGCATCTTGTGCGCCACTGATAAGGCTGCCTAAAATTTGAATTCAACGTTTTTGCATTCAAATGTGGATTTTTATTTTAAATTCGACAAATATTCGAAATTCAAATTTTTTTGACAGCCCTACTCTATAGGCACATTCCAAACAACCACAAATGCCTCTAAAGTGAGATTCCAATCAAAAGGAAATGTACATAAGCGCAGTGACAAGGAGTTGAGGCTCCATAGTTTTTGTAGAATGTAGGATCACTATGGGTCTGTACAAACATGCAATTTGTTTATAAGTATATGGTTTTGGTTACAAGTAGACTATGTTTGCATAGGTAACCTAGAGCAGAAGCAGGTACAACCTTCTTTACCTGTAAAGCATTCATTATTTTCATAATTTGATTCCTCATTTTATTTACTTGCCAGAGCCCATGGTTGGATATTATATCTGGGACAAAATATAAATACTTAAAAAAAACATCATTCAGAATCACCAAATGGCTCATAATTATAATTAACATTTTAAATTAAAGACAATAAACAGAAATTGACAACTGAATGGCTGAAGAACCTGTCATGCTTTCTGTGTAAGGCTACATTATTTCCCAAAATACACATACATTCCAATGGAATACTTCAATGTGTTGATCTCGGACACACACAGAACACCAGAACCTACATCTGTAAAGTGGACATAACACTTAATAAGTGGCACAGACACAAACACATTGACATACATTTGGTGTGAAAACAGAACATTTATTTACTCAAAATGTCTTAAGTAATGTAAGAAAGGGACTACACAAATTTCATAGCATGCATGTAATGAAGTGATTTGAACTGTAGTGGCTTAGAAAATATTCCTGACTCTAGTAGTCTGTAACTTGACAATTTTTACAGTATTCTGAGCTCTGTGTACTGTGCTGTAATACTTAAACATATCGGCCTATTTGCCTTCACAAGTCTTTACAAAGTCAGCACACATAATGGAATACTTGGAGAGTCAGTATGTGCCACTGACAGACTTTCAAGATTAATATAACTAAACTTGCGGGTTCATTTGAAGGTTAGGAATGTAAGGGATTTTATTTCACTATTTGTTCTCATATATTAAGTATTTTAACATTACACATTTCACCTTTAAAGTCATTTCAAATCTCATTATAATGTGCAGAAACAAAGACATTGGGAGTTTACAATATGCTTGATTAAATTCTAAAAAAGGGGACATGATACACAATAAGAGTCACATGATTCAGTGCCTAGGCCAGAATATCCATGCAAACCCAGGCAGGAGCAGTGCTATGAGGACAGAAGAGAACAGATTCACTCCATTGTTATCCAGGATGGGTTTCCCACTTATTCTTTTAACACTTGGTGACTCATAACTCACAACCTTCCCGATGGATTCATCGTATCCTTGATGGAAAGATAAAACATGGTCAAACATCTAGAATAATTAAGCATGTGACGTTAGTTACGTCACAATGACCTTTTACCACAAATATGTTATAATATAAAACAAAACTGCTTTAATGATTTTGATATTTCAAAATATTTTTCTTCATTACAGGTTATAACACAGATAGCAATACAAAGGAGGTGACATAATTTCTCTAGATGTGGAATTATTTAATAATAATGATGTATCATTTATCAACATTTAGTTACATTTTATTTTGCACTGTTAACATAACATCCATCCCTCCCCTATGGGCTTCTATGAGGTGAGGAGGCTTTTCTTATGGTACACTCTTAAAAATAAAGGTGCTTCAAAAGGTTCTTCAAGCGATGCCATAGAAGAACCATTTTTGGTTCCACAAAGAACCATTCAGTCAAAGGTTCTTTAAAGAACCATCTCTTTCTTACCTTTTTGTAATCTGAAGAACCTTCTTTCGCCACAAAGAACCTTTTGTGAAACAGAAAGGTTCTTCAGATGTTAAAGGTTCTTTATGGAACCATTTAGACAAAAAGGTTCTTCTATGGCATCGTGAAGAACCTTTATTTTTAAGAGTGTAAGACTATTTGAGTATGCATCTGCATCTGCAGGAGAGGTTTTAAGAATCAATAATCATTCAGTGCTCAGTAACTTGGCATGTCCACTGAGAAAAGGACCTCTGATAGATAAATTATTTATATTGCATAAAAGTAAATTACCAATGTTAGTATGACTGCTGCAAGAAACTTGGAATAATATAGTGGGTAGACCACAGGGGGAAATATATATGAATTTATTTATTTGATTTTATTTACCTTTAATAAAAATCAGCTAGATTACCTGAATACTGCATGGTTGCACCAAGGAATGAGTCCAGCAGAGATCCAAACAGACCAGCTATTGCTCCATACAAGATGATAGGCCACTGAGGAACTGCGAAATGCAAATCTTTTACCAACAGGAGCTGCATGAAGTAGTACGCTGTACCCACTGTGCCTCCACCCAAAACACTGGCCACTAATCCAACAGGAGTGACTCCGCCATTGGTACCTATAAACAATTTTATATCAGTTAAGACAAAGACCTTTTGCTTAAATATATCACTTCATACTGGCCATAATCAGAGTTTAAAATTAACACTCACCTACCCGCCAAATGCAAATGAAAATCAACCGAGGCAGGTAGCACTATGAGCTCACTAGCCAAAATGATGATTATGTTCTGTCACTTTGCATGCCATTGCTATCAGAGACTCTTCAACATTAACAAAACAAAGCACATCACTCTAGTACACTGGCAATGAGACAGAGGACTACTTTTTCAACCTGTTCTCACTCCCTAGCCGGGTGAATGCTCGATGTCCAAGAATTTTGCGCGTCACTGTACAGAAGACAAAGGCACTCTCTCTGGCACCTTTATTGCAACACTGTCAGTAAACCAATTGCTTTCAATGAGAAACATTTGCTGTCAAAAAACTGATCAGCCACAACATTAAAACGACTGACAAGTAAGTATGTTGTTTATTCCGTTACAATGGCACCTACCAAGGGATAGGACATATTAGGCAGCAAGTGACATTTCTTGAATTTCATGTTGGAAGCAGGTAAAATGGACAAGCAAAAAGATAACTTTGGCAAGGCAAGGGTCAAATAGTGATGGCTAGACAACTGGGTCAGAGAATGTACATAACAGCAAGTCTTGTGGGGCCTTCTTGGTATCTAGTGGTTAGTACCTGCCAAAAGTGGTGCAAGAAAGGACAACTGGAGAACCCACGTCAGTGTAACCCAGGTTACTAGTAGATAGAAGCAGACGCAGAAATAACATCAAATTAAATAACAGATTATATGTATTAAAAACACTGAAAACGTAAATATGACTGTGAACAAATGAATTAATAATGTGAAAATATGTAAAAGTATAAAATATCAAAGTTATAAATGTGACCAATAGCGTAATCTCTCTCTCTAAAAGTGCTGCGATGGCGGACGTCAAGTGACGTCATTCAACCGCGATCTCATTGGTGAATTTACCAAGCGAGAGATTACACTATTGGTCACATTTATAACTTTGATATTTTATACTTTTACATATTTTCACATTATTAATTCATTTGTTCACAGTCATATTTACGTTTTCAGTGTTTTTAATACATATAATCTGTTATTTAATTTGATGTTATTTCTGCGTCTGCTTCTATCTACTAGTAACCTGGGTTACATCAGGGTCAAGGGTGTCCAAGGCTCTTTGATGCATGTGGGGGGGCAAAGGCATTCTGAAAAGAGGCTTTAATACGTTGAGTTCAGTACGACTTTGTGAGGCAACAGCTGATAAAAAGAAACAGCTTGCCCACTAATTTATGTCTAACTAGTTTAATGTTTAAACATCCATTTGGAGTGAGCTATATTTGGATAAATAAATGCTGTTTTATAAGAAAAGTCACAGAGTATAGTAAGATTCAGTTGGTGGCACTACTCTTTCATATTTACGGTATCCGCGAAGAACGATTGGCTGTCATAAAAAAGTCAAAAGTGATTCAATAATTAGATTTGATTATAAATATATTTAAACCTAAGCTGTCATTTTGATAATCTGGTTTATTTCTGATATTTTTGTTTTGGCTAGTAGAACTTCTGAGTAGCTTGGCTGGTGAATAATCTTTTTTTTTTTAATCCTGGCCATAATTACTGTCTATGGTAATTCACAACATCTGTGGAATCAGTCCATAATGTATTTAACTTAGAATATTCTGTTAATTTCAACCATTTCATTTTTGGACCCTGTACCTGCTGGGACAACTTTCCAGGTGGTGATGAGCCTGGGCTTTCTTCTACTAAGCACAGGACCAACCTCAGAAGCCCAGGTGTCCCCTGTGCTGCAAGCCAGGGCTCCTAAGAGTGATAAGCACATCCATGAAGCAGAATATTGCTTCCCAAAATCCACAGGTATTTCTCCAGGACCAGCTTCAATCATATAGAGCAGGGCCAATTCAGTAGGAACTCCACCATTACAGAAAACTTGCAACCAGTTCCTCTGGCCTCCTGCAGACATAAAAGACACATAAGTGATGTTATCAACAAACATTCTATACAGCAACAGCAATAAAAAAAAAAAAGCTTTGAGAAAGGTCTGGTTAGAAGCTGCATTGGACAGATCATTCCGTGTCAAATCAACCAAATTTCAGAAACTTTCCCCGAATCAAATTTTTAATTTTGTTAATATTTTTTCTGTAGAAAGACAAACATAAAGAGTGATGAAAGCCAAAATATTAAATATCACAGATGTATATTTACGGAGTAATTCACTATTTTGTAGAGGGGGTCAAAATGACAATTTCCCCCTGAGATTTGGAGCCAAATTACAGGGGTGAAAAAATGACTTTAAAAAGCTGACAGCATCATTATTTTATTTTTACATAGAGATTGGTAGGTCTGTTAATAAAATCTGTTGACTTTATCAATCTTTGATTCATTATATGTCAACAGTGACAATTAAAATAGGGCAAAAATCACTTTTTTAAGTATTAAAGATATCTTAATATCCTTTTAGATTCTGTTTCTTAAACTTTCCTTTTGGTATCTTCATTTTAAAGGCCCTTGTTGGTTCAATCCCAGAGATATGGAGATCTTAATGCGGCTCCAGGTGTAAACTGGATACTTGTACACATTTTCAGTGGCCAAAAACCAAATGTGGGTCATTTTGCATATAGCTGATACTTTTTTCTTTTAAAGAAGAACAAATAATGTTGAAACTAGAAATGTATCTTGTGATTTTCTATCAACACAATTGCATAAAAAAATTCCAGTAAAAAAAAAATACATGTCTGGGTGCCATAAATAGGTTTGCATGCCTGTAACTCTAAAAGTATTCAAGATATTTGAATATCCTTCTAGATTCTCATTATTAATACATTTTGAAAGAGTGCAGTAAGATTTCACAGCAAGAACTGGCAAATCTAGCGCAGTCCATGAGGATGAGATGCACTGTAGTACTTAAAGCAGCTGGTGGCCACACAAGATAATCACAGCAACTTTTGGTGTTGACCCCTCCTTTGTTCATTATTCTACTTCTGCTCATCAAACGCATGAGCATTTATGTCTCAGTTGTGTACGTTTTTATACTGAAATAAATATTCACACAAGTTAAGAAATTAGCTTGAAGTAAAAGCTGTTGAAGCCAAAGTGAAGCAAAAACATTTTGATCACCATCTGGTGGCTGGCTGTAGCATGGGTCATAAACACCTCCCTCTCCATGTAAACGAATGGGCCTCTTTAAGTAAAACTCTGCATATTCGAAGACCTGTATTTATTGCATGGACGGAGCAAAAACATAAGTGTAAGTGTCTAAACTGTATGCTCACAGTTCAGATAAATAATAAAGTTTTTAACACTTAGCAACAAAATACCAACACAGTTTAAGCTAATATTTCTAAACATTAGCAACAATAAGCCCTGGATTACCAGCAACATTAAATACCTCCTCAACCAGAAGAAGAGGGCTTTTAAGAATGGTGACCAGGAAGAGTTAAGATGCATACAAAGGGAGCTCAAAGTCCAGCTGAAAGAGGCCAAAGATATCTACAGGAGGAAAGTGGAGCAGACGTTGCAGCAAAACAGCATGAGGGAGGTATGGGATGGCATGAATACCATCACAGGATGCAGCTCAAAGCGGGGGAACTTTGTGGAGGGGGATGTGGAGAGGGCCAACCAGTTAATGCCCTGCCCCCACTGCTGCTTATAGGGGCCTGCCATTTCTGGTCTAAGAACACGGATGCCCTCTACAGGAAGGGACAGAGTCGACTTTAATATTTGTCAAAAGCTATTGCAGATATTCAACCAGGTGGTCATTTCTAGCTTCCTCTTCTATGCTGTGGTGTGCTGGGGAAGCAGCATTAAGAAGAGGGATGCCATGCGGTTGGATAAGCTGCAAGAAGGCTGGTTCTGTGGTGGGTGTAGAACTGGACCCCTTAACAGCTTATTAGCTATTATCTTACTAGTGTAATCATTTTTTACATTATTGTCTTGTCTGTTTTTATTGTTGCTACTGGACACTTGAATTTCCCTTGTGGATTAATAAAGTAATTATGTCTGAAAATGCTTTTGTCAACAACTAGGAATTGATTCAATCATCTGTGAAGACACCATGAGTCAGAGAAAAATAAAAATAAAAGTCAGAAAAGTTAGTTTAGGATTAGTTGGGAAAGTGCATGATATTCTTGGGTACACTATCCATGGAAGTATTTTATGATTACTGCTTAATGTATCTATAACACTGCAATCAGGTTGTGTAGCCAAAACATTAAAGGGGTCATGAACTGAGAAATCTAAATTCTCTTGATCTTTTGACATATAAGAGGTCATTGTACTATAAAAACATCCTGTAAATTTCAGAACTCAAAACTTTCTTGTTAGTCTAAAAACAGCTTAAACTGAAGCCAATCTGCCGAAACGACAGGTTGTGGAATGTGCCACTTTATGGCGTAATAGTGTGGCTAAACCCCACCTCCACAGAAGATCAACACCTGCTTCTACATCACTGCCTGTTAAGCCCCACCCACTGATTCGCACATGTCATGTAGTGTAAATAACGAGAGGCAAACACAGGTCTATGCAGAAACAAAACGATAAAGATGGCTCCAAAAGACAACAAAACGCTGTGCAGTGCCAAGTTGTGGAAAAACGGTCTTTGGATTGCCTTCCCTCTGATTTTAACATTAGGAAAGAGTGGAATAACTTTATTTTTAATGAAGATCCAGACTGCGTCAGTAAGTGTTTGGTCCTTTGTTCACTTCATTTTACTGCGGATTCATTTATAAACAAAGCACAATTCGATGCAGGATTTTCAGAAAGATTGAAACTAAAAGACGATGCTGTGCCGAATATAGCCTATTGGATGCGACAGTAATGCCGCACCCCACAAGTGTGAGTAACTGTTTTTATTATGTGGTCACTATTGCTTTGTTTGTTATTACAGATCGTTTGATATACTGAGTATTTATGCGGTTTTGACCTAAATCACAGCAGCATCCATCTATGAAGGATGTAGGCTGTCAAACATACACAACTGTTAGCCAATCATAGCAGTGGGCGTTTACTTCCAAGTCTACAATCCGCCACACCTATTCTAATGGAGCGTTCTGATGAAGGGGGTCAAAACAGGTCAGAAAATAGCCTATTACTTCTGAATTATGATGTATTTTGTAAACATCTTGATAACATTACATTGTAAAAAAAAAAATCAAAATTTTACGGAAAATAACTAAATTTTTTTACAGTATTTTTCTGTAATTTTAAATTATGTTTAAAACTATGTAAAATGACTAACAATATCTGTAAATTAACAACTTGACTGTTATTTTACGGATTACATTATTAATGACAAATTACAGTAATTCTAATTTTTTTATATGGGAAATTAACTTTATTATTTATACAGTATTTTTTTCTGTTTTCTTAAATGATATACAAATTCATGTAAAATTACAAACAATATCTGTAAATTAACAACTTGACTGTTATTTTAAGTATTATTCCATTCATGATAAATTATAGTAATTCTCACTTTTTATACAAAAAAATTACTGTATTATTTATACAGTACACGATCATCGTGTCAGGACCGCTTCCCACGTATCGACAAGGACACAAAAGGTTCAGTAGACTTTTTGCTTTAAATGAATGGTTATTGTCATGGTGTAACAAACAGAAACTGCTCTTTGTTAATAATTGGAATCTTTTCTGGGAGTGTCCTAGGCTTTTTCGCGCTGATGGCCTGCACCCCAGCAGAGTCAGAGCGGAACTCCTTTCGGACAACATCTCCAACATAAGCACCATATGACTAGTAAGTCAAATCTCAAATAACTGCCCTGATGACTTTTGTTCTACCCACTTAAATGATAGAAGTACTTGTGCTGTACAATCTATAAAGACTGTGTCTGTTCCCCGAATAGTGAGGTCAAAATATAAATTTAATGCAGGATCTAGAAAAAATCTGATCGTGATTAAACCAGAAAAATTTAAAATAAATGAACAAAAACCATTTTTAAAGTTTGGGCTCCTAAACATTAGATCACTCTCACCCAAAGCAGCTATTGTAAATTAAATGATCACAGATAATCGTTTTGATGTACTCCGCTTAACAAACCTGGCTAAAACCAAATGATTATATTGGTCTAAATGAGTCTACTCCAGATGTTTTGCTGGACATTGCAGTCGGGGGAGCTGCGGACCTGATCAAACGCTTCAGGATGCGCAGACGGGGGAAGCGAGGCGGTGCCCTCGTGAAGCTCAGGCTGCGCGGATTCAGAACGCCGTTGCCTAGCATCCATCTGGCGAACCTCCACTCTCTACCCAACAAAACGGACTAACTCCTTCTGCTCTCCCGGAAAAATAAGGATTTTTCAAACTCTGCTGCTCTGTGTTTCACGGAAACCTGGCTGAAAGACGCCATTCCGGACAGCGCGTTGAGTCTGCCGGGCTTTCAGCTGTTTAGAGCAGATCAGAATCAACAGAATCAACGGGGAAATCACGCGGCGGCGGGACATGCTTTTACATCAATGAGAGGTGGTGTACAGATGTAACTGTGTTAAAGAAGATGTGCTGTTCAGATCTAGAAGTGCTCTTCATTAACTGTAAGCCTTTCTACTCGCCGCGGGAGTTTTGCTCGTTCATTCTCGTA